CACAAACATGCGGAATGACAGCTTATTTTGCATTTCTACATACCAAAACTATGATTAGTTTGTAAAAACTGCTTTAATTGATATGAAACGTATTTAATTATGACATAAATTATTTTGGAATAAATTACTACTTTTGAATTCTGGGTAAAAGCACGTTGTTTTTACTTTACTAATGAGAGCTAAACTGAGCACATCTAATTTTACCGAAAATGCCAAATACTGCTAAAAACCACCAAGAATACAGGAAATCTGTTTGTTTTCTTTGTTTTAGTAAAAGTCAACGAAAGCTAACATCAAATCTAAAAGAAAGATGTCAGATTATACTGAAAGAGAAAATCAACTTTAATGATGACAAAGTTCCACTTGGAATATGTGAAAAATGTCGCTCTTGTTTAAGAAGGAAGGAAAGTAGAGAAGACATCACACTCCCATCATTGTATAAGTTTGAGACTATAAAACTTCGACCAGAAACTCGAGACTCTCACTATAACTGCTTGATCTGTTCAATTGGTAAACTGAGACACAATGGTCAAATGAAAATTGAATTCGCACAAAGTTCAGCAACTAGAACACCTTCTTTAACAGTAGAAAAAAGATGCTCAGACTGTTTTTCAATTATTGGTCGAGGATTGCCTCACAACTGCACAAAAGGCACTTTGAGAAATAATCTTGTTGCTGTAGTAACAAAGGATCCTTTGGCATCAGAAAGAATTGCAGCTCTTGTTGTTTCAAATAAAGCTCCTTCTCCACATGGAACTGTTCGATTAAGTCAACTTTATGGTGGAAGAATGCTTCCAGTAACACCAAGTATAAATTTTATATAGTTTTTTATAGTTCAAATTAATGATAAGTTAAATTTTTAACTTTTTGTATTCACTATAGGTTCGTCATCAGCTAGACAACTTTTCTCTTCAAATTCATCAATAAGTGTAAAAGACCTTGCTAAAGTTCAAGCAAACACAGGGCTTTCAAACAATGGCATTAAGAGGTTAGCAGCTACTATTAATCAGTCAACCTCACAACAGATTGTTGAAAAAAATTACGCCATTAAATTTGACAAATTCAGCAAGCAACTTGTACATCATTTCACAAGTTCATTAATTCAAGATCACACTGGATGTGTGAGGACAGTCATACATTGCAAGAACTTCCATGAGCTTAAAAATGAAATTATAGCCATGAGAAGTACATCAAAAAATCACATTGTAAAGGTTGGAATTGACGGAGAAGGTGGGTTTCTGAAAGTTACCCTGGGAATTATTGAATTAAATCATGAACCTTGCATTCCCCCAGCAAAAATCAACTGCACAAGCAAGGTTTTTAAGGACACTGGTGTAAAACAACAACTAGTCATTGCTGTCTGTGAGGAGCTTCAAGAAAGTTATACTAACGTTTTGCAAGTATTTGAGTTGATTAAATTGAAAGACCAGGAGTTTGTCATGTCCTGTGATCTAAAACTTGCTAATATAATTTGTGGGCTTCAAGCACACTCAAGTGCACATCCCTGCACCTGGTGTGAATCTGGTTCAAAAGAACTTGTAAATCAAGGGAAATTGAGGACTTTTGAATCTCTGGAAAAAAATGTCTCACTCTTCAAGTCAGCTGGTTCCAATATTAGAAAAGCTCGTGACTATAAAAATGTTGTTCATTCTCCAATATTTAAACTACCTGGAGACACTTTGGTTTTGAATTTTCTTCCTCCCATGGAATTGCATCTCTTAATTGGAGTTTTTAATCATCTTTTTGCTGCGCTGCTTCAAGTTTTTCCTCGAGTAACTCTTTGGTCTGATGCATTACACATTAAACAACAACCTTACCATGGTGGACATTTTGCAGGAAATGAGTCCAGAAAGCTGCTACACAATATTGATATTCTTCAATCAATTGCTGAGAAACACTCATGCTATGCAGCCATCCCATTCATTGATGCTTTTCGAAAATTCAATGCGGTAGTATCTGGCTGTTTTGGGTGCAACCTTAATCCAAACTACCCACAAATAATTGAAGCATTCAGAGTGTCTTATCTGGCATTGCAAATTGTGTCTGTAACACCCAAGGTCCATGCAGTATTTTTTCATGTAAAAGATTTCATCGACAGATATGGCCAGGCTCTTGGGCTTTACTCAGAACAGGCAACAGAAGCAATGCATCACAACTTCAGATACATTGGCAAAGGTACAAAAGACCCAATCATCATCCAGAATACAGTAAGAAGTTGCAATGTTGCATTGTTGACTTCAATACTAAACATTGTTTGTGAAAAGTCATTTTAAGAAGGGATTTGAGAATAAGTTGTTTTTGAATTTGTTCCATTTAAAAGAAACTTTTTTTCTGAATATATTTTATGTTTGTTACTTGTATAACTTCAAGAATATATTATTTTGCTTTCCTTGTTTATATTTATGTAAATTGGAGATTTTTAATACTACAAAAAGGAAAATAAGCGCTCATATTGCATATTTGTGCAATCAATAAAGTATTTTATTAAACGCAAGACGTGTTTAACACGTTTATAATACGTTTTAATACGTATTAATACGTATATTTAACGTTTAAAACACGTTTTGTATTAACTAGGATGAAAATTCAAATGTAAATAACTTGCCAGGACGTTGTAATCTGATTTTGATACTTATATCTAAGTGATCCCCATAGTAAGGGCTATCATTCCGCCAAAGGGTTTTCCCGGGTCAGAAAGTTAAGGTTAGAACCTATTTTATAACACTGTGCACAGTGATGTGGTTAATCAAATCACAAACCAGCACACGGCGGCCTTGTAATCTCTTATTTAGAACATTGAAATGTGCTGTGATGTCGCGAAGGAAAGCAAGTTTACACTTAAATTCCTCAATAGACATTGCAATGAATGAAAATTTATGAGTTTATATGAACTGCAGTACACTTGGCAAACACTCCCAAAATCTGTCAAGAATCTTTCCTCTTGATAGCCACCTGGCCTGCAAAAAATAGACAAACATTTATTTATGCTTGTAATGGTAAATTATTTATTTTTTGTCAACTTACCTCTGAATGAAGAACATTACCATGTTCATCATTTTTTTTTTCCATTAGCGCACGAAATTGACGCCGAAATTGACGTATATAAGTAATTGTTTTTACTACAGCTGTCATTACATCATCAGTTGTTGCAGCTTCAGCGCATAGTGCTTCCTGGTGTATAACACTGTGGTATGATATAAATTTGTAGGAAACTCACTACTATTTCTCAGCAAAGTAACAACTCCTCGAATTCTTCCAATCATAGCAGGAGCGATATCTGTGATAACTGAAGATATTTTATAAAGAGACACTTTCTTATCTTTTAATATTTTTAAAAATTTGCCTTGTCCAGTTGTAGTTGTAGCTAGTGGTTCAATTCCAATCAGTTCTTCAAATAAAAAACAATTCGTATTGATAAAGCGTGCATAAACACTGAGTTGTGCTTTACCGTCAAGGTCAGTAGACTCGATAGTCAGTAGACAAGGTCAATAGAGCGATACTCACGAATTCAGCTTCTGACAGATTGTTTGACTTTGTTCATAAACATTAACAACCATTTTCTCAACTTTTTGAGTAACTGTACGCGCGGACAAATGCATGCTTTAAAATTTGTCAAGAATCTTTTTATCATTTGGTAAAAGAACTTTTGATGCTTCAATCGTGCATTCTTTGATTATTTCACCATCAGTAAATGGTTTCATTTTTTTTCCTAATATCCATGACACCATATTAGAGGCACGAGTTTCACAATCAACACTGCTAGACATTTTTTGAAACAAATTTTTTTGTTTTTCTAAACAGCTTTTCAATGAGTCGTATTTCGTTTTTCTGGTTGTTGAATCAAGAGGATATTTAGTATTGTACAATTCATGTTTTGATAAGAAATGACGTTCAAGCTTGGTTCCTTTCAGTTCACTAACAGTCTCATTACATATTAAACATAGACTTTCAGTTCATTAACAGTCTCATTACATATTAAACATAGACTTTCAGTTCACTAACAGTCTCATTACATATTAAACATAAACTTCACTGAGACCAAGTAACAATACATTGGTCCCTCAGTGAAGAAATAAATCAGCTCTCATTTTTCATTCCACTGACGTGCATATTTACGCTTTGGTTCATGTTTTCCTGAGATATCTTTGCAAGTTAATGTGTATATTTAGCAGAGTTGCAACTTCTGAATAAATAATCCAAACTCGATAACCAGTTACTCGATAACAGGTAATACTCGACAAATTTTATGCTATTGGATATCCGAATATTGCGTCTAAAATAACCGGCTATTTAAAAAATTAGAGATTTGCCGACTATTTACTTTATAATACTTATTATGTAAAAAATCTAAATAATGTAGTATTTCTATTCAAGAAAAGTACGAAAAACATTCTAAAGGCTAAGACGATAATTTTTATCACTGGTATATTTGTTATGAAATAGTTTTTATAGCGTTAAATTGATTAAATTATGTTGTTTAAGTTACTTCATCTGAACAAATTCGAATGATATAATTATTTTCGACATGCTTTCGAATTTTTTTTACTTTTATAGAGTCATTTGTTTAGCATGACTTAACTTTTAAGTATTAGGATC